TCGATGCGGTTGATGCGGTCGATGCGGTTGATGCGGTCGATGCGGTTTATAAGATCCATGAGGTCAATGCGGTCCAAAAGGTCGACGCCATGGATGCAGTCAATGACGTCGAGTAGGTCGATTCCGTCGGTGCGGTCGATGCCATGAATGCAGTCGATCCGGTCGATAAGGGTGATGCGAGCGATACGAGTGATTCGGCCTTCGGTAAGCCAAATTCAGCCAAAATAGAAGATATTTTTGCAAAATGACGTCATGAGCATGTGTGTCGATTTTATCGCTATCTTTGATTCCTTGAGATATTATTAACGATTCTAATGCTATCGAGAGGGGCAGGAAGAGACCTTTCAGAAGAGCCATGAAGCATTTCCCTACCTTGAAGATGAGAGAAGTTATAAGCGTATTTAGGACAGAGGTTCTAAAAGGTAACAAAGCAGACATTATATTGAATATTTTGAGCCTCTTCTCTTTAGATCTAAGGCACTGAGGAGAAGAGTATTTAGGATTTCCCGCTCTCTCAGTTGTGCAAATCTTTGGTCAAAATTTCATCAAAATCAGAGGAGGTCATGTTTTATAGTGTGTTGATTTGACGTGGAATGACTCTTATTGCTGTACTTCCTATCTACGCATGAATTTCTACTATAGTAGTTCTCATAAACCTGAAGGACTCCATGAATCTGTCTCGGGTATGGAGATGATACATGATGAAAATGGCCGCTTTGATTTATTCCGTTTTTGAGGCAAGGCGAAACATATCGAGGTACTTGGCACTGCTGTGAGGGCCGATTCGAGGGGAAGGACGGGAATTTTCATGCACTATGCGAAAACCGAGGACGAAATCTACAGTATTGGCCAAGTCGAGAACTTCAAAAATTTCCATAAGCCGTTTAAGTGCAACTCGGTCACATTGTATTGTTCCATCTGTTCGAGATTGTATCAATGATGAAATGGCAATATTGGGGAGACGTTGCTTTGCCGATATAGGCGATATTGGCGAAGCAATATGACCGATATCCGACATCGGCTGTATTGGCCAAGGTGCAGCCAAACCTATCCAAAGTTATTCCGGCTTTTGGACGAAAATATGGTGCTACTGAGGGGGTGGCCCAAATAAAAAATAAGCCCCGAATGGGGTCGATGTCTTTCGCCAATGGTGTGCCAATAATGGCCAGTCAACCAGTCCACCAAGAGCCTTAATCGGGACGGAGGCATAACCAGGGTCCCGAACGTGGTGGAAGTTCCAGAATATTTTCGAAAATACTGTACTTTGTTGATGGCCTTGCACAAAAATTTTGACTGATATGAAGCAAGTATCTTTAAATACTTGCTTCATTCCAGTCGCGAGGTTNAAACCCATTTTTTTGCCTGTGTCCTTGCGTCCATGGTGCAAATGCGACAGGCGTTATTTCCTCCGACTAATAGTATGGAGTCAGGAAAATCGCCTCAGAAGTCGTCTCATCTCGCTTTCTTTCCCTTATGGAAAAATCCCATGGGATCCTATAAGATTTTTGAAACATGAAAATCTTCTTATAGGATTCGTATATACGAATACGAACCCTATAAGTTCGTATAGGATCCTATAAGAATCCTGTGAGAATCATATAAGATTTTAATGTTTCAAAAATCTTATAGGATCCTATAGGATTTTTCCGTAAGGGTTGCACCAACGCTAATTTCTTTGTGGCTCGTGCGAGACGGTTCAGTTACAGTTTGTGCATCATTGAAATTCATTCTAGGGACGAATAACGTGAGAATCGCATGTCGAACTCCCAAGGAGTCATTTGAGGGTAGTGAGTGCGATGAGACTTCTCGATTCCGTCCTCTGCTTGATTCTTTTTACCCGATCAAAAATCATTGTGTCCCTATCATGGTCCTTCAAATAAATAAAAAATGCATATGGAAGTTCTCAGAATTTCTGAGTTTTGAAACCGGTGCTGAAATAAACTTGAAACAATTGAAACTGGGAGGACATCCTGACATTCCAACTCACTGGCGATGTCGGCGATGTCAGTGAGGAGGTCGATGCGGTCGATATCGGTGATTGAGTCGATTTGGTCCATGCGGTCGATGCCGTTGATACGGTCGATGCGGTTGATGCGGTCGATGCGGTTGATGTGGTCGATGCGGTTTATGAGATCCATGAGGTCAATGCGGTCCAAATGGTCGATGCCATGAATGCAGTCGATCCGGTCGATAAGGGTGATGCGAGCGATACGAGTGATTCGGGCGATGCGGGTGAGGCAGGTATTATATTTTATTTATATATATTTAAAAAAAAATGATGCGAATGAAAACCGTAATAAATTATGATCGCAGGTGGTGAGTTGAGTCGAGATCCACCTTCAGGCCATCAGGATATCACGAACGGAAGTTCATCTCTCTCTTCGGATCCCAAAACGCCCGTGAGCCGTTTTCCTTTTTGCATGTAACGCCCACGGCTCCTATGTTGCCGATGGTACGGCGTTGTTTTCGGGCAAGAATTTTTTCTCCAGAATATAATCGTTCAACTTTCGGAAACCGTGACTGTTTTTTCTTTCTTCACTTCTGAGTGAAGATGATCGGATGATCAGATAATCTGACATCCGCGCGTTCCAGCAGAAAGCCGGCCGTCGTCAAAAATATTGGGGAGTTACCATTGTCAAGTTAGCAAGAAAAACTTGCAAGTTTAATTTTTCGTTCATTTCATGTGCAAACCTTTCGAAATTTAAACAGCATGAATCTCAAGGGAAGAGTCTAACCCTCTTCCGCATTTGCAAAATATTCGTTTTATTGGCGAAGTGCGTATTTCAGGCGAAATCTGTAGGGGAATTTCTCGTTTCAGCAGTGCTTAACGCTTTTCGACTTGGTTCGGGGCTGTTTCCCCCTAGCATTAACGTATCATTCATGTTTTCGTCCTGCTAGAAAGTGCCAAGGCTGACAGGGTGATTCAAGGTCAGAGTGAATTTCGACGAGCATTCGGAACTAGTAAAGTTCCCAGCAAATCGGCAGGAAACGGATCGGCGAACCAATCTGATAGCATTGGTTGATGAGAAAGACTGTAAGAAAGGTCGTATCGGCAGAAAGAGAACATTTAGTGTGAACAGGAAGCGCTTCCTCGTCGGTCGGGCCTCTTAAAGTTCCAGTTTTAAATGCACTCCAACGTTCACCATAATTCAAAATTATTTGAAACTTACCATACGAAATTCATATCAACTGTTGAGTGAAAGTGGTAAATACGACGAGTTAACTATAGTGGTCAAACTTTGCACCTCATTCAAGATAGCTGCTGCTGTCCAAAACATCTGGTTCACTAACGAAGCCCATGTTCTCCTCCATGGCTATGTTAACGAGCGGTCTAGTCTCGTTTGGACTATATAGAATCCCCAAGAAGTTACAGAATCCATCCATTACATTCATCCATTACACGGTGTACCGTGTGGTGTGCTGTTTCAAGGGTTGGAATGAATTGGTCAATTTTTTGCTGTGAAACGGTGAAGCGGATTCACATCTTCATATACTTCATTGTTTTTCTTGAAGAGATGGGGATTAGCCTTGGGGAAACATCTTTTCCGTAGGATGGAGCAAGATCGCACAAGGGAAATGCCGTTTTGATCGCCTGCATCAGCCTTTCGACGATCGTGTAATACCAAATCGATAACTGAGATGTTCTGGATTTGGGATGGCCGCGTCTACTTCAGGAATTGAAGTCAGAACCATTGACGAGATTATCGATGAAGAATTATTGCGCTTGCAGTTGTGGTCATGATGAACTTTAGAAAACGTCTGCAGATGATTTAGGGTGCTAGAGGATGCCAAATTGCAAATGCGTTCATATGAATGGAAACTTCTATTAAACAATACGTTTGTCATTTCAAGAAATGTACGTGATTAAAAGAAGAGCGCCTTTTCCGGAAGACTGCATATATCATGGTTGACAATAACCGAGTTCTGATCTAGTGTAGATCAATGTGTAGATCAATGACAGTATAGATCAATTGGGAGATTTTTTGCAGATCGTTCAATCTGAAGCAGTTCAATCTGCTTCCAGTTATCAACAAGAAAGACCTGTGTTGAGACCATAACATTTCCTTTTGGCCTGATGTTTTCAAGGGTCTGTCTTTTAATATAGACCATCTCATATGAAAAGGATCTTTAGGAATCCTGTAGGTTTTTTAAAGGAAAAAATCTATAGGATTACTATAGGAAACCTATAAGTTTCCCATAGAATCGTCTAGGATACCGATGGGAACCTATATAGGACATCATAGGCATTCCATAGGAATCTATGTGAACTTATAGGATCTCATAGGAAACCAAACGGTTTTCGAAAAGATTCCAATAGGATTCCAATGCATTCCTGTACATTCGTATAGGAATCCTATAGGACTTTTTCGTAAGGGATTTCATGCTAAGTTAGCCAACGAATGAAAACTTCCATTTGTTCTTATATTTCTTACCATGGGTATATTCTTTTCTTGCAAATTTTTGCGCTTAGAGCAAACCCTCTATGACCCGTCTTCATCGCATCATCTTTCAGGAAAATTGCAATCGATCATCATTTTCCGGAAGCAACAGAGGATTGCAAAATACTGCAAAATGCAAAGTATTGCAAAATGCTGGACGCTCCTCTTTAAGATACGCTCGCATTATTATATTTCAAGCTCCATAAAAGCCAGAGCTAATGATATTGCTTTCGCCATCACTGCAATGGATTGTGCGAAACCTACTCAAGATGTGCGGATATTAATCAAATGGCAATGATTTTCCCCCGTTTGTTTTCATGGTCGCGGCGACGCTTCCCGCCTTAGCTTTCCAGTTGGGCATTAGAAACCGAGATGAGAGTTTGATTAATTTATTTCCTTTTAATTTCATTTTTACAACCCTTAAATTTAATTCAGTATGGCCCAAAATATTTGGCCCAAAGCAATTGAGATATGAGGATGAAGTCTCGTTCCAAATCAGTCAGCAGAAGAAAAAGTTACATATGACCAAGCCGGCACATTGCGAATAACTTCTGGATCTCGCTATTGACAATCTTCTTCCGGATTGATGAATTTCAAACAAGTTGGCCCGATCCGATTTGATCCCTCGAATCCGTTCCCACCTACAGAGCTGTTAAAAAAATACCTCAATAATAAATAAACAGATTTCTCCAAACCGTGTAGAGATACATACTACTGGAAAAAAATGTTTATGTGCTTAAGGAATTGACCACCATACCTTCCAGGAAGTCCCTGGCATCCTGTCTGTCAATTTCAGTGAGTGCCTGAAGGAATATAGGGACATATTTATGTGGATTCTTGGAGGTGAGGACGTTGAGTAACTGATCATATTGGTGCTTCATGTTCCCTGTGTCACGGATCTGCTTCGCCTCGATGGCAATCACGGCCCTCTTCTCCTCCAATTTTCGAAGTAACTCAAGGAGCTCCACGTTATAATCATCCCGTAGCTTCAGCCATTTATCTCTTATTCCGTCCCATGATTGCCGTTCGTTCGTCTGCGAAAAAATGAAAAGTGGTTTTGATGTACTTTTCCCGTTGAGATACTCTCTCGAGTTTATCTCGTCACTTAAGACGCCAGCACACGCTATGACTTTGCTCATTTAAGACTCCTCGCATATGAGCTATAAGTTCCTGTTATCAGGGTTTCTGCCCTTGATTGCTTGGTATAGTCAGCCGGCATGCCGCTTACCGCATGAATATATCAACTCTCCTGATTTTTGGCTCAAGGAGTGCCCGTAGTTCCATTGAGGACATCACGATTCAGAAGAGCACGGAAGCGATGGGGATCTTACTCGCGCAATTCTGGAGAAAATATCGGCTTAGAAACCCTTTTCTTCGCCTTCTCGCCAGCCGTTTTTGCATCCGCTCGCGTCTGTCATATTTTCGACTTCGTTTACATCCTCCAAGCTCCTTCAAGAAAAGCCCCTCCAAGCAGTAAAATTTTTCTTTTTAATCCAGTAGTAAAAAATGTACTTCTGGAAACTCACAAGGTCTTCTCATAACGTCGAATCGCCTGCGCATAGCAAATTCATTCATACGGGAGCGGTCGTATACGAGCAAAATCAAAGCGTCTGATGGCACCTTCGCAAGTGAACAATACGTATGTTTAGCCCCGTCTGACGGAAGGCAATACATTTAAAAATAACCAGCCATACGGATTAGAGAGTAATATCCAAGAACCGAATTCTGGAATAATATCGAATGATATCCAAGTCAAACTTTGACGAGATAAGGCCAAAAAAGATCATACTCCATATTGGCTGAGCGCTGTGGTGTGGTGTGGTGTATTGTATGCAACAGATGAGGACAATGGCTCACCTGCTCTTCAGAATTTGGAAATTGAGATGAACTTGCATTCATCATGGCTTCGTGGCTTGAAGGTGAACTTCGACGCACCTCTGCATCTGTAATGTGTTTTAGCAACGGTTAAATTTTCATGTTTTTTCTTTAAATTCCGTTGTAGTTTATGCTGGTAGGAAGTACTTCCCAAACTAAATTCCCGATATTTAAATCGATTTTTCATGAAGACTGAAAATAAATCTCCAACATCATTTCGAAATCCACAAAGCCGATATTTCTGAAGAAATTTGCCAATTATAAAGAGTGACTAAGTTAAGGGTTCATGCGTTTTATATTATATTTAAAGTTGTTATGTCCTTCATATGAATCAATGCATTTTTACTTCACATTGGGAATAATGTTATGGGCTTTCCATGAATTAAGTGAAAGTTAGTTTTCTTTGCATGTAAAAAGAAACAATTTGCTAGTAAAACTACGAGCAAAATATACTCCGAAACTGAGAATCGAAAAACACTGAGAAAGTGCTATGCGGATCGTTACCAGCTGCGTTAGCATTGTCGACTGAAATATGCCATGAAGCGAGGTGTATATTTAATAAATATTTTATTGCGATTGCGGGGAAATTTTGGCCATATTTCTCACTTTTCTAAGCGTTTCTGGTTGTAGCTCTTATATTCTTTCTTTTCTTTCTATGTCGGCACGCACATGAGGAAATTTTCAAATAATTGTTTAAGGTAAAATATTGCCGATATCGAAACACAGGACATCAGGCGGATTCAAGTTTTGCTGCCATCAACAATGAACAAGTCATGAGGAACATTGCTATTATTGAATGGATGTGGATGGATGTCTTACCTAGAGTGTCTTGAATTTGTTTAATGATATCCTCTCTCTTCATTTTCCTCAGGATCTCTACAACACTCTCATACACCCTTTGAGGATTTTCTTTCTGGAGGGAGGCGAAGGTTTCATCTATCTGCTTCGTGTAGGTGCCGATCTGCTTCAATTCCCACTCTTTCGTGACTGAGGTGAGTCCGTCAAGCGTCATATTGTCCAGGAATTTATCCATGTCAATGCTCCCTTTCTTTAAGATCATCTTCGAGTGATGCAGTGCTCTTTGGTAGTTCATTGTCCAGCAGGTGATGAGATGAAGTGAAGAAAACCTAACCTAAAGTGAAGAAAACCTAACCCTGTCTCAGTTAAGAAAATCCTTCTTGCTCGGGCTTAGTGGTGGTTTTTTTTTTTCTTAAATGAGACAGGGTTAATTTGAATTGAATAATTGAAACCCAATATAAATTTTCAAACATTTTAAACAATACAGGTTATTCGAGATATAACATGTTGGAATGGATAACCTTGCTATGGGTGTGGTTTGCTAATATCTGCTACAAATGCATGCAAGAAATATTTCGGCAAAGGCCAAAAGGTGAAACTCACGCTAGGAATTAAATGAATCGGCATCCTCTACAAATTGCTGCCATTTTCCCCACAACTAATTCGTACTTGATTTTTAGATTTATAAGCTCATCTGCAGTGTACTATGGCTGAGGGAGTAGAGTAGTTTTTGGCGGTTCCACTAATGAACATTCGCCACATTTTCAACACATTCTTATATTGACCGTCACTCCTCATTGTTTTATTGCTCCAACTTATGGGGAAGGGACTACTCACCACACGATGAATTTAGAGGGCGACACGCTCGTCTTCCCTAAGGGCACTGAGGGCATAAACCTAAGGACGCCCACAGTTCCTTCAAAGAGAGACGTCTGTCACAGCACCGCAAAAGAGCCTTTGAAGTCCATCAAACGTCACGAAAGTCAACTCATTTCAAGCTCAACGCTGAAATCACTCGCAACACTTCTGTCAATGAAACCATGATGATGAAGTCATTCTATTTTCCACAAGTGTGCGCTAAATAGAGGGCATATGACCAATTATGGTCCCTGGAATCCAGATCTAAGATAAGCCTTATCTACGGTCCGTTAAAAATGATTTCAACTGGCGTAACTCTCTCTGCTTTATGCACTTGGTAGCAAATGTCTAACTTGGTGAAAAGTGCTAACTAATTAACAAAGCAGTCCCCCATGTAAAAGTAGGCATATTCAGTTTTACGGTGGGTTGGCAAAGTATTACAGCACAGAGACGGGTGCGATGGCTCATGCGATCGTGGAAAGGGTTTTAGACTGTGACCAAACCTATTACAAAATACAAAACTTATCAATTATCCAATGTTCGAAAAGGGATTTTATTAGCGTCCTTGTGCCTAAATATCGATATGAATATAACGATGAAACTCCCCATACGATCAACACAGTCGAAAGTAATTATTGCCCTAAAACGCTGAAGCATTAAGCTTTTGTGTCTCGTCCTACACATTAAAAAAAGATATGTAGGTAAAGAGTGAGTCTACCATTAACAGGAATTAAATTCTCTAAATAGTAAATGACGCACTATGCACCTGGTGATGCACATTCTTGGGATCATATGACTTCACTCTGAACATTACTGTGGTTTATCTTGGTGGTGCGAGCGCCGAAGTCGCGAGAATCGCCAAACCCATTAACCGAGGAGTTTTGACCGGGTCATCCGGGGTGAGTTTTGAAAATCAAGCTCTAAATGCATTAGCAATTTTATTTCATTATGAAGCTCCGAAGTCGCTTCCATATCGAGTTTGTTCGCCCCTCGGATCCCTGCGGCCCCAAAGTAGCCACGTAGTAGTAGCCCCAAAGTAGAAAAACAAATAGGCTTCATCAGAAATATGGTGACGGCATTTGGCCGCGATGGCTGTGAGAGCAAACTATATGGCCCCGAGTCGAAAAGACTATGCACCACAGCTATAAACTACGGTGGTGTTCTGTGACTCTCCCGATCAGTCTGTACAGAGCACTATACGTCTATTTAGACATCATAACGTCCATATCCTAAAAAATAAAGAAAAATAAGCGTCCTAGTCCTGACATCACACACACGGATGAGAATTGGGAGGCACTAGAAATTGATGTCGTACGGATTGCAAGTGTTTGAACGGTCCGGGGCTGGGCGACATGCCTCCTAGGTAAGCATGCCCTTATCTGGGATAAGCATGCTTCCTAGGCATGCTTATCGCAGATAAGATATTAAGCTGCGTGGGCGAGATCGTGATAGGTCCCTCTCTCCCTCTCGTGAACCGTTACTAGTTTCATGTTGGCTGAGGGGGCCTCGGGTTTAAGGACGTCATTTCTTTTTCTTCACATCTGCCTTCAAATTCCGGGAAAAATCTATTTCATGTTCACTTTCGCCTTCGTTTTCGTAGGCGTTTCGTCCATAATTCGGCCTTTTGCATCCATGCAAATCTCAGCGGCAAGGCGTAGACCCGTTTCTGCGCGCAATTCTGAATGTTCTCACGCTTAAGCTCAACTCCACCAGAGGAAGTGCCATGCACGACTGTTTGAAGCAGGTTTTCCACATCTAGTTCTTTAAGCTCACGATCTAATTGAAGGCAAAAATATATCGGACTCCTCATTTTCCCAATGCTACAAAGCATTGGCTTTAATTTCATGAAAATTGGAAAGTCATGTTTTGTAGTGCGTTGATTTGATATGGAATGACTCAATGTGTTATCTGACGAGGGACAACTTTTTACTTTTCAGTGACGAAACTGTCAATATCTGAAAAAAAGCTTAATATCCCAAGATGATTCTTGGCAGACCTGCTCTACCTATAGAGGCACGCCTGTAAGCCAAATTTAGTCAAAATAGAAGATATTTTTGCAAAATGACGTCATGAGCATGTGTGTCGATTTTATCGCTATCTTTGATTCCTTGAGATATTATTAACGATTCTAATGCTATCGAGAGGGGCAGGAAGAGACCTTTCAGAAGAGCCATGAAGCATTTCCCTACCTTGAAGATGAGAGAAGTTATAAGCGTATTTAGGACAGAGGTTCTAAAAGGTAACAAAGCAGACATTATATTGAATATTTTGAGCCTCTTCTCTTTAGATCTAAGGCACTGAGGAGAAGAGTATTTAGGATTTCCCGCTCTCTCAGTTGTGCAAATCTTTGGTCAAAATTTCATCAAAATCAGAGGAGGTCATGTTTTATAGTGTGTTGATTTGACGTGGAATGACTCTTATTGCTGTACTTCCTATCTACGCATGAATTTCTACTATAGTAGTTCTCATAAACCTGAAGGACTCCATGAATCTGTCTCGGGTATGGAGATGATACATGATGAAAATGGCCGCTTTGATTTATTCCGTTTTTGAGGCAAGGCGAAACATATCGAGGTACTTGGCACTGCTGTGAGGGCCGATTCGAGGGGAAGGACGGGAATTTTCATGCACTATGCGAAAACCGAGGACGAAATCTACAGTATTGGCCAAGTCGAGAACTTCAAAAATTTCCATAAGCCGTTTAAGTGCAACTCGGTCACATTGTATTGTTCCATCTGTTCGAGATTGTATCAATGATGAAATGGCAATATTGGGGAGACGTTGCTTTGCCGATATAGGCGATATTGGCGAAGCAATATGACCGATATCCGACATCGGCTGTATTGGCCAAGGTGCAGCCAAACCTATCCAAAGTTATTCCGGCTTTTGGACGAAAATATGGTGCTACTGAGGGGGTGGCCCAAATAAAAAATAAGCCCCGAATGGGGTCGATGTCTTTCGCCAATGGTGTGCCAATAATGGCCAGTCAACCAGTCCACCAAGAGCCTTAATCGGGACGGAGGCATAACCAGGGTCCCGAACGTGGTGGAAGTTCCAGAATATTTTCGAAAATACTGTACTTTGTTGATGGCCTTGCACAAAAATTTTGACTGATATGAAGCAAGTATCTTTAAATACTTGCTTCATTCCAGTCGCGAGGTTGAAAAAAAAAACAACTTTTGTCGGGTAAGCAGTCGCAGATGGTTTCGCTTAGCCTACACTCGCTAATTTTCAACTAAAGATTCACGCCATGATTTCGTTACTCGCAACATAACGATGAAAATATGCGTGAATTTGAAACGTTTCATTGCTCTTTTCATGGATAGTACGATAAATCACAAGGGGAGGAGTTCTCTTTCCATTTTCAGGCATAAAAGTTGAAAATGAACACGACAAACGTCATACAAATGATGGCCCCCATTCATTACCTTGCTGCAATCCCTCGCAATATGTCCTACCCCCCCTTCCCCCCCTTCCCCTCTGGTGGATTGGAACCATGTGGATGTCCCTCTGGGTGTACATTCACCTATTGGGGGATGTCCCTATGGGTGTACATTCACCTATTGGGGGATGTCCCTATGGGTGTACATTCACCTATTGGGGGATGTCCACCTGGAACAAAACCCACCTCCTTTCCCCCTTTCCATTCGGCCAGGTGGATGCAAGTGAACGTTTTGTGAGGCATGATGAAGCTAAGCCGAGGCTAAACCTCCCATATCGTTTTTTTCCTTCAAACTCCTCTTCCCCTTTGCTGCAGGTGAGAATTATCTCATTAACCGCAACGAGAACCGAGGAATCTCCTGTTTCCTCTCAAGGTGGGAATCGAACGAAAGGATCAGGTGGGAATGAGGAAGTTGTCGTTCTCGATCAAGGCTGAGATCGGGCCCCCTTTTCCTCCAGACTTTTCAGCAGAAAAGGTACTTCAAGTACTTACCGCGTGCCGAGAGTCACCCAGATAACAATTTCTCCGAAAATTCTCCGATAAGGCGATCTCGAAGCCGCCCTCCATTAACCAAGAACAGAAACGACCGGTACAACGACCCGATTCGAATAAGATGCGACGATGAACATGGAATTTCCCCCATTCCCAATAAGCTTTCCCTTGTCCTTCCAATCCTACAAAGCCAAACGGGAATCCTAACATCTCTTGCTGACTGATAATGCAAGATACATCCTGCAATAGCATCCGCATATGCAATGGTCTAGGTGACGTGAAGAGCAATTTTACACAGTGCATAGTGTCATCCAATTCATGTCATCCAATTCAGTGTCATCCAATTCATAGTGTCATCCAATTCATAGTGTCATCCAATTCATAGTGTCATCCAATTCATAGTGTCATCCAATTCATAGTGTCATCCAATTCATAGTGTCATCCAATTCATAGTGTCATCCAATTCATAATCTCCTATACATATTCTCCTCTAATCCATAATTTTCGGTGCACAGTGTCACCCAATTCATATTGCCCTTTATTGCCTTTAATGGACATTGCCTTCCAATTCATCGTGCACTGCGATAGTGTCATCTGACCAGAATTCTTTCTCTGTTTTCGCCGGATGACCGATTCTCGAGCTATAAGCAAACGTCTATATCTCCCATAGCGTTTCAACGATGAACGTGAACAGATTGTCACCTTCAAGTGGCGATGGAGTGCTGCGAGATTATATTAGCCCGGCCGACACTAAAAATAAACGGTTGAGATCCGGTATATCCAGAGTCGTTGACTTGAACATTGGTTGGATATTAAATATCCAATCGATGAAAAAGAACCAACTTGGTACTTTTCTTCCTTAAAGGTATTTTTTTTAAATAATGATGAATACATTTTAAACACGTGGGAAATTAATAAGACTCCAGGTTGAAACTCGTTAAGAGAGTGGGGGTTGCTCTTTATCTTTGCGATGAAAGTACTGAGAAGTACTGGAAATTGGAGGGAAGGCTTCATAACCGAGCATATTCCCTGCATTACCCAATAGCGGAACTTATTCCGTAACTGCTGCGGTTTTGTCATTGCTTCGATTCCTGAATTGAAGCGATGGAAGCTATCGTTTCCTGGCTATAAACCCTCGACGGCCTTCCACAAGAATCCGCTTTCAAGCATAGGCGGAATATCGCCACTTTCAATTCATCGTTTTCCGGAACTTTAACGCGTCCGACGTAGGCGAGTAATGCGG